TGGAGCCACAGCTGCACTCGGACCAGAGCTGGAGGCCCTCCAAGGGAACAAATGTCCAGAGTGACAGCAGCTTCACACCACACAGGGCACCAAAGGTTTTGCATAATTGAGGGGGGGGGGAGGAGGAGGAGGAGGAGGCAGCATGTGGCTGTTTTGATGACACCTCAGAGCTTTGGGGTCCAAGGCTGGACTTCATTGTGCTTGTACATGGAATGCTATAACAGACGCTCGTGTACCCACAGGGATAGTCGTCAGCACATTTCCTATTATCTGGTGATTCAACATCCTCTAAAGTTCATCTGCTGCCTCCACACACCTCTCAGGATGTCTTTCTCTGATGTGAATCTTTTTTGCTGGGAAAAATAATCTGTTCCTCTCTGGCCTGGAACTTCTTCAGCTCTATTATCCACAGTGCAATATAAATGGTAATGCAATGCCATGAATAGATCTCCCAATGCTTTGTCTGTATTAGTGATCCTGCTCTAGTGGAAATGTCTTGACATTCATTTATCCACTAATACTTCCTCATAAGCACCCATGTAGTATATAACTTGTAAGAGAGGTAGAGTAATTAGCCATGTAAGTCACCAGCCTGGGAACGGTTTGTCACATCTCTGGACCTGTTCTACAATGTTAATGAGCATTGGCCTGCAGAAATAAGTGAGCCTGGGCAAATATGGTTAAAATAATATGTTGTCTGGTTAACCAGGTGCAGTGCACAAGACATGCAGGCTGGAGGATCTCCCAGTTACATCTCAGAGAAACACACCGCAAGTGCATATAGTATTTTATTATTTTAATATTTAGTAGAGTATCTAACAGTCTTCTGCAGCAAGTGACTCCACAAAGCAGTGTGAGTTGCTGGAATTTGCTGAGGGGATATTGTAGAAGTACCAGCTCCCTTTTCCAAATTTTTCATTGATCAATGTAGGCTCTACTGAAGATCTCCCAGTATCTTTCCCTTTAGATTGCTAAACATGCCCCAGTATGACAGGTGTCCCCCCACCCTCACTGGCCCACAAAAGCAGTTTAAATTTCTGCTCAAAAAAGCAGTGATTCATATGCAGAAAAATATAAGAAGTTCCATTGTCTTGTGAGACCCAACAAACCTCAGGGGAAATGTGCATATGCAACTGAGGAGTGGTCTCTGGTCCATTCTCCTGGCATCTGGGACTTTAAAAACTGATGCATTGTCTTGTAAATCCTGACCTTAAAAGACAGTACAAATACTTTTCAAGGTACAACGGGGGATGTCCTGCTTATGAAGCTCAACACAAAACTGAATCAAATGAGGTACTGGAATATTTATTTATTTATTTATTTATTAAAACATTTCTATGCCGCCCCTTGCCGAAGCCTCGGGGAGGCTCACAGCACAAAATAAAATACAATAAAATACAAAAATAACAATATAAAATAAATAACAATATAAAAGAAGTCGCCCTGGCCAGATAAAGGCCCTTTATCACTCGTGATCCGCAGAGCTCCCTCCTTCCTTTAAGAAGACTGGACTGTGTACTGGGCACCAATGATCTCATGATGGCCAGTTTTGCCTCTCTTCCCCCAAGATCCTACAGCATCCATTCCAGTCCCCAGGAAAGGAGATGCTAAGAAGTGCAGCATCTGAAGGACCATTGCACTAATTTTCTATGGAAGCAAAGTGATTTTCATTGTTTTGCAAGAAATAGTTTTACTCTGTACGGCGTGTGATCTTTTAAGATGGATTCCCAAAAGAAGAGGCCCCTGAGATAATATTGCAAAAACAGGTTGGCTACTAGAGCACACCAAAGAAATTCAGAAGATCAGACTACAGCAAAATCTTTGATCATGAGAAGCCATGGAAGCTTCTGAAAGAATGGGCTTGCCTCAGCATCTGATCATCAACTGTGTTGTAGCAAGAGGTTATTGTTAGAACAGAAACAGAATTGTTTCCTGCAGGCAGAGTGTATTACAAGGGTGTATTTTATCTGCCTATATGTTCTATCTGTTCAATCATCTGCTAAGGAAAACTTCAATGCAAGAAGGAGTGAAATTGGTGGAAGATCCATCAGTCATTTAAGGTATGCACGTGATATTATGTTTCTGGCAGAAAGTAGCGATGAATTGAAATGTCTCCTGATGAAAGTGAAAAAGCAGAATCGCAGCTGAATATTAAGAAAACAAAAATCATGGCTACAGAAGAATTACAGAACTTATACTGTTAACAATGAAGAAATTGAAATTGTGAAAGAATTGGCATACCTGGACTCAGTCATGATTTCAAAGAGAGACTGCAGCTAGGAAATCGGAAAAAGACAGACTTGGAAGGGTAGCAGCAAAGGATCTAGAAAAGATCACCACGTGTAAAGACATTTCATTGAGGACCCCCATGGGGAAGTGGGTGTGAAGTAGATGGCATAGTTATCAAAAAGTGAAGGATGGGTATGAAGGAGGGCTTGTTGTTGTGGTGTGTGGACCCCAAGTAGACCCATGCTTCTGGGCTGGCCCATAGGTCAATGAATGTGCCCTGCTCTTCTTTGGCAAAGTGCCACATGATATCGTGGTTGGGAAATTGAGTTTTGGGATAGATTGATGCACTGTATGATGGATTAAGGCATGGCTGATGGACTGAAAGCAGAGGGTTACTAATAGTGGGGAATAATCAGGATGGCAGCCAGTGACGAGCGGGGTCCCCAGGGCTCAGTCCTGGGACCTGTTCAATCTTTTCATCAAGGACCTGGAGGAGGGGTGAGAAGCCTGCTGGTCAAATTCACAGAGGATACTAAAATGGGGGTGGTGGCTACAACTGAGGAGCATGCGCTCTGGATCCAAAAGGATCTGGACAGACTATGGAAGTGGGCTGGGGACAACAGGATGGTGTTCAATGCAGATAAATGCACTTGGGGCATAGGAATGGGTGTCATAAGTACTGGTTAGTGGACAGGTGGCTGGAGAGCAGCACTTGTGAAAGGGATCTTGGGGTGCTGGTCGAGTGCAGGCTAAACATGAGTCAGCAGTGTGATGCGGTGGTCAAGAGGGCGAACATCACTCTTGGTTGAATAGCCAGAAGCATGGCATCTAGATCGAGAGAGGAATTACTGCCACGCTATACAACTCTGCTGTGCCTGCAGCTGGAGTACTGTGTTCAGTTCTGGGCCCCTCATTACAAGAGGAATGTAGCAAGGTTGGAATCAGTGCAGCAAAGGGCCACTAGGATGGTGGCTGGTGTGCAGGGCAAGCCATATGAGGAGAGACTGAGGGAACTGGGTCTCTTCAGCCTTGAGAGGAGTGGAGGACAGGATGCGCTCCAATGGAGCAAAGCTCAGGCACCCAAGATTTAGGGTGGATGCCAGGAAGCACTTCCTGACAGTTAGGACCCCGAGGGTGTGGAATGGGCTTCCACGGGAGGTGGCTGAAGCCTCAATGGTGAGGGTGTTTAAAGATAGGCTGGACATGCACATGGTAGACATTTCATGAGTGAAGCTGACTGGATCTGGGGGTCAGACTAGATGGTCCAGAAGACCCCTTCCGACTCACTCTGTTTCTGTGTTTCTCTGAAAGCATGAGTACATTCTCTTGTGGGACTGCACTGCCTGCCCCTCTGTGGCTGATGGGCTTTCCTCCAGTCAGGGAGGACTGCTGGAGTTTGGAGGCTGCCGTGCTTTGAGAGGAGAAGGGAGGCAAGTCAGCACCATCTGCAGTGTCCATCCTTCAGTCTAGTGGCGCAGGGATTCATGTCAGGGATGAAGCAGAGTGTGGCCAGCTGGGAATCATGGGAGGGGAGATAAGGGAATGCGTTCAGTTCATCCCAAGTTCCATTTAGATGCCAGGAAGCGCTTCCTGACAGTTAGGACCCCAAGGGTGTGGAATGGGCTTCGACGGGAGGTCGTTGAGGCCCCATCAGTGAGGGTGTTCAAGGATAGGCTGGACATGCACCCCCTGGAGCTGGGGGGTCAGACTAGATGGCCCAGGAGGCCTCTTCTGACTCTGTCTGTTTCTATGTTTCTGTTTCTATGTGTGCCATGGATGTGTGTAGGGCAAGGAGGTGATGATGGGCTTTTGGCAGTCCTGAGGTGCGTTGTAGACTACGTGTGAGTGGAGGAGAGTAAGGGAAGCAGAGTCAAGGAAAGCATCTGGGAGCACAGCACATCTGGCTCCCAGGTTGCTGTTTCAGGCAGTGCGCACCTCTCTGCTGCTGAGAACGTCACCCTTGGACTGCAGGTGATGAGGAGCAGCGGGGCAGGTTTGCCGCCTCCTTCAGCATGCTCAGTACAGATCCTGTCAGAGTCCTGCTGTGCCACAGGGACATCAGGGTGGAAGCTCCCAGCCTGGCGGAATCCCACTTCCCGGGGTGGGTACTTGGGGTGTTGTAACAGGATTTGAGGAGAAAGGAATCCAGCAGAGGGGGAGCTGCACAAACAGGAAATGAGAGAGGGGGAGGGAAGGGAAAAGAAGGGAGAGAAAAAGTAAGAGGGGTAGGAGGAAAATGGAGAATGAGGGGAATGGGAACGGGGCGGGAGGGGGAGGTAATAAGCTTCTCTCCATTTGCCACAGTCTCTGGAGATGGAGCAGCTGGAGCTGCAAGAAGGCTTGCGGGTGGGGTCGTGGGATCAAAGGGGGGGGGGGCTCCAGTGCAGATTGAGCTCAGCCGATTGTCCCTCACTGAGGATTACTAATTTTCGGAGGAAGTCAAACTGCAATTTGCTACAGTTCATAATAACTAGACAACATTTTATTTTTGATCAGAAATAAAACTTCATAGGTCTAGTAAATGTGGCTACAAATCACAAGAAGGCAGAATTTTATTTTTTAATACCTGGAAAGAGGCTTTTAAATAGCATGGAAACAGGCATTTGGAAAAAGTGTATCTATTAGAAATAATTCAGTTATGCAGCTGTATGCAGGTGGTCTTCAATTTTCATCCAGATGTACTCAAGTGCAAATGATGGTCCAATTTATTGAGGAGTCATACCATTATTTTAATAGAGAGATGACTGGTGTGAGCAATGGATTCTGGAGTCTTATTGTATTTCTGTGGTACACTGACAAGAAGCCTTGCAGTTTGCCGTTACAGGATGGTTGCATCCCACCTGTTTTGTTAAATCTGGACAGCTGGTGTAGTCATCATTGTACTCACAGGGGTTAGCTAAGGATGAAATTAAACAAGATGGCAACATTACTTATTTTTCAAATGACAGCATCTCCAGACCCCCGGTAAATGCCATGTTGCTGCATCAGCCAAAAGAAGAAAGCTCCACCCAGGTGCCCAGAATCAAGCCCTCCAGTTTCTGAGTCAGATGAACTCTTTTCCTGGCTGTTTAGAAATGTTACCATGCCTCTACATGTTAACCTTGAGGCACAGTTATGCTAGCTTTTAAATTAAATTAAATTTCTACCTCAGAACTGTGATGAGGATCTTCTCCATCTATGAATTTATTTGGCTGATTTTTCTGTCTCTCACTGGCCTATTATAGTTTTGCCATAATACTTTTGAATGGTTTTTAAAACACACACACACAAGTCTTACTTAATTTTTGGTGGCATGAGTGGAGCATGTACTGCATTGAATATGCCCCCAATCCTGAGATTCAAGTTGCTTTTTGTGTCTTGTTCTCAAAGGCCAGATGGGCAATAACCTGTTGGCTCTCCTACTGAGGCATCTAAGGAATGCATAGGGACGTGATGAGCAAAAATTTGGGCAGGGTCCAATGGGAGCATTCTTCGTGTGACCTGCCTCTCCTGTGGCCCTGATCATCCAGACTGTGCCTTGTGGAGGCTGGTCCATCTAGCCAGTGCCCAGCATCTCCCAGGTGACCTGTGAGCCTCCAGGAGGCATCAAATGTGGCCCGAAACAATTCAGAGAGGCCATGGCCGGACAAGGCTATCAGTTCATTCTTGGGGGTATTCAGATCGCCCCTTGTTAGATGGCACAAGAATTGCTCTTAGAAGGACAGCATGATGGCTTCTTTGTTTGAATTAATTGGAAAGTACACACAACTCTTAAAGGACACTAAATATTTACTCCCATGCCAATGTCTTTTACTACAGTCTATCATTTTTAAACTCACTGCACAGTCCATTGTCACAATCTTTGGGGCAAGCTGCACATGGTTCTCCTATTGTGTAGGGTTCATATTTCCGACCTGCAACGTTCCCTCTGGAATGTGAAATAAAACTATGTAAGATCCAAAAAGCAGGGGATATACAGTATGTGCTATATGTGAAAAGGTGAGGATCATCTGTTAAGAGACAGCCCTATTAAATTGCCATCTGCTCTTTCACACTTGGAAAATACTGTGAGTTGAAGAGTAGCCATTATTAGCCAATAATAATAGAGTAGCCAACAACAACCACAACAACAACAACAACCCTCACTGTTTTCCTTCCAAGGAACTCACGGCAACTTACATCACTCTCCTCCTGCTGCTGTCAATCTCATCCTCACAGCAACGGCAACCCTGTGAGGTGGGTTGGGCTGAGAGTCCACGAGCTCCATGGTTGAGTGGGGACTAGAAGCCAGATCTCCAGAGGCCCAGTCCTGTGCTCTGAATCACTGCAGCGCACCGGTCTAAGAAGACAGGGGCCCTTCTGTGTCCAGACTGGGGCGAGAAGGATGACCAGAAGAGTGCCCAGTGCTGGTTGCACCAAAAGGTGGGCTGGCCATTGGCCGTGTTTCCAAGTCCTCTGTGGGTGCATGCCAGTCACCCCTCCCAGGGTGGTTCTGCTTCGCTTCTTTGTGTCTCAAAATCCCTGTTTTGAGCAGGGACAGAAGCACACGGGTTGAGTGACTGATGGAGCACCTATCAAAATCACCTTGGAGAGACTCCTGAGGAGGCCTTGGAGGAACCCAGGCAGCTGAGCAGGTGGGGAATGTGCTGAACGGTGTACCTGGATGAATTTATTTATTTATTTAAAAATTTCTATGCCGCCCCATTCGCCGAAGCCTCGGGGCGGCTTACAAAACAACAATTAAAATATAAAACACTAAAAATATAAAACACATAAACATGATAAAATAAGTCGCCCTGGACGAAGTAAGCAAATAATATCAGCAATTAAAATGATGTTTGAATAAAAAGGTCTTCGCCTGGTGCCGAAAAACAAATAATGACGGCGCCAGGTGGACCTCTCCGGGGAGCGCATTCCATAGATTGGGCGCCACCGCTGAGAAAGCCCTTCTCCGAGTACCTACCCTCCTAATTTCCTTCATGGAGGGTTCCTGGAGAAGTGCCTCTCCTGCCGATCTCAGGGGGCGGGCGGGCGTATATGGACGTAAGCGCTCCTTCAGGTAGCCAGGACCCAAGCCGTTTAGGGCTTTATAGGTCATCACCAACACCTTGAATTGGGCCCGGGCTTCAATGGGAAGCCAGATTCAGTGAATAGAGTGAAGGTGGCAGGATCAAACTTCACTAGCATTCATAGCCCAGTGCGTCATCTGGCGCCAACAAGCCACAGTTTTATTCAGTTGAAGTTAGTGCCTACTTTATCCAAACAGTGTCTAAGGGGCTCGGATTTCTTTCATAATGCAAAGAACCAGATATGCCAACATAGTTGTGTCTGCCTCAAGCAAAAGAACTTGCTGCTTTCTCACATCTCCTCTCCTTGAAACTGTCATGTTAAAAAGTGTGATGTTGTGCCATAACGCCAACATTCTGCTGCTGAAATAGAGAATCTGAATTAGGAGTTCACCCTGAATGTGTGTAGATGGATGAATTGCATGCATTTATGTAAACACCTTCTGCTCAAGAATAGCCTGCAAGTTATTTGTTCATCCAGTGCTCCTTTCCTGTTGTTGGGAGATTTTATTTATTTGTTTTTTTGGTGATTCATGCAACGTGTATGAGTGTACGGGATGCCAATCTGAACGAGTAAAGCAAATTATTGGCCATTTATGTGCTGCTCATGAGGAAATAGATTTTGTTTCCTCAAGCAATTTTATAAGAGTGTTTCAGTTTTATAAAACCATCTTTCTGGGCTGCTTCCCAGCAACTGTAATACAAAAAATGATGTTACTTGCCAACCCTAGAAAATCCCAGTGATCAGCATCCCTCAACGCTGGTGTCTCAGGAGTGAAAACAGGAGACTGCCAGGAAGTGCTACGTTCCTGGGTTCATACATACCCTGAGCAGTACTGGCAAACCTGGAAGTACTTCAGGCTCTGAGCAGGGCACAAGTTGATAGCACATCCCACTTTGTAAGACTTATACCAGACCACCTGCAGAATGTGATGTGAACACATTACGAATTAGCATGCAGGCCAAAAGCAACTTTAAGGGGAATTGAGCAGGGCATTTCTGCATAGCATAACCATTTATGAATGACTGAAACAGATAAAACGTATCACTGAAAAAGACCATTTTGATTTGCACAAAATGTGCAGAGGCTAATTTGTAGGTAAAATGTACATTTAGAATTAGTTATTCTGCTTTAAATAAAATTCAACACATTTTGCCACAGCGTGCAAGACTGTGGCCGGGGACTTGCATGCCTTCCTGTGGAGGTACTTGTTCTTCTCAGGGTTCTTTACCTTTAAACCAAAATTGGACAGAGTAGCCCTTGAAATGGAGGACTGATCTTTGGTAAGCCTTAAGATAGAGGACCGACCTCTGTAAAAGAGGACACATGACCACCCTGTCTCCACAAGTTGTATTCTTATGGATCCATGCACAATTCTTTTTTCATTTTGTGGCAAAGCTTCCCCTCCCTCCCTTTCTCTTTTAGTTTCCTTCTGTTATGCTTCACATTTCTGCATGGGGAACGTGCCTCAAGGAGGGCTCAGGCTGTGGGTTCCACCTCTTGTGCTTGCAAGCAAGTATTCTGGAGAACAAACAAAACAGAGTTTCCTTTCAGGAAGTCCCCCATGATGGGCTCTGATAAGAAAGCCATTGACCTTGCACTACAAGGTGTTGCATTGTTCCTAGGGAATGGAAGACAGAGACTGGCCTCCAGCTGACATTCGGAAGTGGCCCTGAGGCAGGGCAGGCGCCTTGTGGGGCTCAGCAGCACTGGCTTCCCCCACCCCCCTTTGTGCACTCAGCACCCCTCCCTGGCCTGTAAGGGGGCCACCTGCCCTGGTGCAGCAAGGGGTGCGTCCTGCTGCTGCCCGATGGCCCGAGACAGTCACTTGGGGGTGATGTGAGAAGAGGGAGGACGGGAGATCGGAGGGCATAGACCTGGCACCATGGCACCTACAGGGCTGCCCTTTCAGGCACTATGTCCATGGAATGGCTTTGTCATGCAGCTGCCGGGAGAGGGGGTGGTCCAAGAGAGCTGACTGGACCATGTAGGAGCAAGGATTTTGCCCTCCCCCCCCCCCCCGTTCCTGGCTGCACAGGTGTGCTTGAGTGTGGGTGACCCGCCTCCTTTCCTAGTGTGGCCCCTCACATGGGCTTTGCTTCAGGGATCTCTAACAAAGGAAAATATACCCTCCTCTACCATTCTGGGGTTACCTTCATGTCCTTTTGCAGATTCCTCACACGGTTTTTTATGTGAACCAGCTAGAGAGCTGTGTGGCTACAAGACGGTATATAAACGTGCTAAATAAAAATAAAAACATTAGCTGGAACCTTGGCTGGATGCAGCCAGGCTCGTCCTATAATCCTGGAGGGCCTGGGCTCCTTCAGTCTATGGCTGGACTTTGGGGCAGGTTGCTGGAGAAAGCCGAGCACTGCATGATCTCCGGGGCTCCTATTGTGCAGGAGCTGCTGGATGTGCATCTGAGTCCTGAGATGCTCTCTCTTTTTTCCTGAGACCGTTCCCCGCCTGGCTGTGTCTCAGAGCAGGGGCTGAACCCTTGTTCCAGGTTGATCATGGGTACTCTTTGCTGGCCCAGTGCCGAATGAGCTACATAGGGGTCATATTGCTCGTACTCGGCTATTTCCTTCCCTTGTGTGTGTTGTGTCCCCTAGCTGTGGATTTCAGCAGCTGTCTGCAGAGATTCCCAGGAATGGGCAGTAGGAGGGTCATTGCTGGCTGGGCCAGGGGAGCTGATGGAGCCGGGGCAACTGGGCGTCATCTCATTAAGAGCGTGTCCAGGTCACTGGTGGGCAGCACAGACCTTCCTAACCCTGTTTCTGGACAGATTCTCTCTCTAGGTCCCAAACATATTCTAAACAGCAGGACGAAGCACCATTAACATGTGCAGTTTTAACAAACTGCGGTGAATGTTCTCCTACCTGGGTATAATGGCCAACCATGACGCCTGGTATTGTTGGTCCAAAACCAAACATAAAGTTGTTCCTTTCATCAAACCAACTCTGAATGGAGGAAGACCATGTGCGAGGGTTACTTGACATGAAGTAATTTTCTCCACACACCACACCACCTAGACGTAGAGATGGGATGATTTACAAAATGTGAAAGCGCCACTGCTTCTGCAATGCCTCAAACTGCTTCAGGGACATTCATACCTGTGAGGGCCTTGTCTTTGCATGGTCCATCATCTCTTACCCCTAATTTTAAGAACTCATCCAGAAATGAAAATGCTACTATTATATTTAAATGTTGGCCTTTGGGCACTAATTGCTCTTGGACTTCATGTGTTGCAGAAATGAATTTTGTAATAAGATAAGGCAGAATATTCCCCTGATGACATCTTTGGACATGAAAGAGGGGAACACTGGGCAGGATATTTCATGAGCTGACAGGACTGGGATGCACCCCCGACCCAGTTCCCCCAGTCGTGAGAATCCCTGTGCTTCCATACAGGGAAGAAGGGACCTGGCACTGCTGCAATCCTGGCCTTGCGCAACACCCCGCGGGGCCCTCATCTACGTCGTTTCAAACATTAATGCACCTCCTGCTTCAGTCATCAGAATCACTTGTTTCCCTGCAATTAGTATTGATTTGCAACAGTGTGAAAAATGCAACCAAGTGAGGAGCTGGTAGGGTTTTTTTCATGACCACCTCTCTCTCTCTCTCTCTCTCTCTCTCTCTCTCTCTCTCTCTCTCTCTCTCTCTCTCTCTCTCTCTCTCTCTCTCTCTCTCTCTCGCGTGTGTACATGCGCATGCACGCACATTTATGCACAAAACAATGACAGGTTTTATGCAAAATCACAGTCTGAAGTATTTGAAAAGAGTACTAATCCAAAAGCAAGCCAAGTGCAAATGGGGGTGGGTGGGAATCGCCCCCAATTATTCTTCAAATTTCTCTCTCCTGCATCCTGTTCCAGAATGTAATCAATTCACCTTCATTCAATTACTATATTTAACAAAGTCATACTTGTCCCTTCATATTTATATTTATAATAATCACAGAGGATGTGTGTTTGTCCATGCTGTAGCGCCAAGTACATACAACTTAGGCACTTGAAGTCTGGCACACATACTAAGGGGACCTAGAGGTGGGGTCCTCAGGGTTATTTTGTTTTTTGTTTTAAATGTATTAATATGAAATAATATAAATTTCTCCATATAGTTGAAGCCACGGTAAAAACGGCATTTTTGTGGTCGGTTTTCTTTGCTTTCTGTGCCAATAATGGTTGTGCATACAGGCTTCATAGGGTACAATTCTATGCATATGTAAGCAGAAAAAAATTGTTCAACTCTCAGCATTCTCCAGCCTGCATAGCTAGGGCTTGTAGAAATTTTTCTGTCTTAACATCCATGGGATTATGTCTTTCACACAATTTACTCTTTTCACACAATTTCACACATTTTCACACAATTTCACACATTTTCACACAATTGACAATAAACAATTTACTCTTTGGTGAGAAATAGGCAAGTTTTCCCACAACCGCTCTGTGACATGGTTAATTCTAAGATTCACTGACTCACAGCCTAGCCTACCTCACAAGGTTGTTGTTGTGAGGAGAAAATGGAGAGGAGAAGGAGGACAATGTAAGTTACTTTGGGCTCCTTGTACGAGAAAAGAAGTGGGATATAAATATAAGAATAAATTAAAGTAGTTATTTGAGGGAAGAACCTCTGCTGTTGAGTTGTCTTACTACAGAGAAATGTTTGGCATTCCGTTATTTTCTGGTGCTGCAGGCCAACAGCAAGGGCAGAAACTTAGTAAATAGAACTTTGTCCCCCAAATTTAAATTTTCCTTGGTGTGCAATGGACATGTAGGGCTCTGGGGCTTAGATCTGGGGTTCTGGGAAGCTGACAGGAGCCTGAGGGCCCAAGTTTAACAATACCACTGATGTGCTGGCTTCCAGAAATTATGGACAGAATCATGCAATTTTGAAGAAGAGAAGATGAAAAGGAAGAGGAGAATAACAGGATTGTCTGTGCACGAAACCAGTAACATATAGACAAGGCTTTTATTAAAAGTTTACCATTACTTCCATTGACATGGAATTTTGTTTCTTTCAGTTTATAATCTAATTACTTTCCATTTATAAATGGATTTCAAAGCTCTAGTTATAATGTATTTGAATTTTTGTTTGTTTGTTTGTTGAAAACTAGTCCTTTACTTACCTATTGTTCTTTCTGCGATAGATGTGTGCTCCTTGTAGTTACATCTCAGTGCTGCACGTTTAGCACTCTCTGCAATGATGTTGTCCCAGGACTGAATATCATAGAAGAAAAAATTAATAAGTTGTGAGATGGGGGAGTTGTGGGCAGATCCATGGCTGCTGAATTACATTTTAAGTAGATTGTTTGGTATGGATTAATCCTGGCTGGTAGTGGATATTTTTTTAAATACACTAAGAAATATATATGGGTAGTGGTGGGGGTGGGGTTAGGGTTTTTAAACTAGCATGGTTTCCACACTCCTTGCAAACGTCTCCTGCTGTTGACATGTGTCCCATTAGCCACTGTGCCTGAAATTTAATCCCACTCTAGATGACCGGGCAGCTCCTGCAGCTGCTGTTCTTTCTATGGGGCTCTGTTGGTTGCACACTGGACCCATGGAAACCACAATGATGGGTTCCGATGACCAGAAAACCATGGTGAAACCCAGAAACAATGAAATACACCATGGTTTCTCATTGTGGGTTCTAAAAGCTAAAATTACAATGCTGAAATACCACCACAGGGTCCAGACAGCCCAACCAAACACCTGCATAAGAAAACACTGTGACTTTTCACATTGCGTGAACCTGCCTACTGTTTTCGTCAGCAAAAGCCCATGAAAGGAGTTACCATGTGTGTTTTTACCAATCCCAACCAGACACCTTCAAAAAAGCTGGTGTAGCATATAGGTCTTCATCTATTCCATTTATAGTTTCAGAATATAACTTACCATCTTCAGCATGTTTTTAGCTGGGGGATCCACTGTTCTCCGTAGGTCATTGTGCTTGTTAATGATCTCATTTTGTATCTCAGGGTTGGTAGTCATCAAATCATCAAGATCAAGAGAAGTCTTCAAAATAAACATTATCCTACACTTAGATTTCATTGTAAGATTATAAGATCATGCTGGCAAATTTGTATAGATATTCAAGGAAATACATAATTCATGAAATAATACACATCTCTTGCCAAAATTCACTTTCTGGAGTACATCTGTATCCAGCATAAACTCACTTTTATGCCCAAAGTTAGAATCAGTCTTCTAGGAATATTCCATTTTATGCAAACTCATAAATATCTTACCGTGCCACGTGATTGACATAAGATTGCAGCTAGGGTCAAATACAGTTTGAGCAGGATCATTGCTGAAAGGCAAAGAAAAAAATGCTCTTATTTATCACCTGTGATTATTGGGGGGTTTCCAGATTAGGCTTTTATTTTACAATCATCCCCTGTTTCATTCACGAAATCTTATGTGGGAACAACTGGTGGCTTGGAAACCTTTCTGTACTTACCTATGGCTTCTTTTAATATTTGCAAAATTTGAAAATAATGAAAAGTTGCACAATGCGTTTTGATTGGTAGCACTGGAAATCATCCATCTGGAGGCATAATTGATCTGCCCTTTTGAAATGTATGCATGATCTGGTAATGGTTGCTTTCATACTGAATGCATGTGCATGTATAACGTGGCTGGTTTGCCATTTTCTGAAGAACTTGTGATGCAGAAATGGCATGCAATGGGGCAGAGTTGCTGCAGCCGGATAGGGAAAGGGGGAGAATTCATCAAAGGTTCCTCATGGAAATGCTTTTCTGCTCATTGTAAGACATTTCTGGATACAAGGCACACAGATACCCACCTGATCAAATTTATAATTAAATCTGTGCAATGCAAATTCTGAACCATTTCCAGACTCATGGAGAACTCTCATTTAATGGGTTTACGTGTTCATTATTTGTTAGTATAGTGTATGATTGATCATCAACAATCAACCCTGGCAACTCAGTGAGTTAAAATTGCTTTCAGAAATGCTGGCTTGTTTTCCTTTAGATTCATACAGCACTGATTTATAGAGCATCTGGATTTATGGAGTACTGGATAAGCACCATGAGATGCCAGCCTCAGATCACCAAACAAGCAACTCTTGTTTGGTGTTCTTTGGCCAGTCATAATTTCTCAGTCTGTCTTCCCTCACAGGGCAGTCGTGAAGGCTGTCTAACCACAGAACTAAGCAATATGCATTATAAAACTAGGATAGCTCAGATTTTAGATAATGTATCTATGCATCCATCCATCCATCTATCGGGAGGCCCATTGCTTGGTCATGACATACTGTTCAGACAGTTTCGTCTGATTCTGAGGAGGAGGTGGGGCAGCAAGGGTGGGAGAGGGCACTGAAATTTCAAGGTTGCTTAGTGAATTTTCTCAGGCAGAGTGTGAGAATTGGCGGGTGGAAGGATGTTGGGAACAGGAGAGGGAGCAGATCCAAGACTCAGTCCTTGACCTAGTGAGGAGGTGATGGGAGACACGAACTGCCCAGTTACAGAGAGTCTCTGGTATTCTCACTGGCTTGTCCTCATGCAGCAAGAGTTACCCTGAGGGTGGAGTCAGAAGCTTTACTGAAAAGGAGGGAAGGAAGAGAAGCTTCCAGCTTGGATTTCACTCTTTACATGGGCAGATGCTTCTCCCAGCACTCTTGTAGAAGACTATCTAGAGTTCATACCTTCTGTAATCTCTTTTGTTTCAGTAACAGAACTGCTCCTCAAAGGATGGTCTTGAGTTTCATAAACAGAAGAAAAGAGGAAAGACACCAGCTCATGACACTGCCCTCTTTCTCACCTACATGGTGGTGCCATGATTCCAGCATTTTGGGGCAATAATGAGAATATAATCGCTGCCTTATAGCTCCTTCACTCCACTTCCAAGCTAGTAAGAATCATTGATGGGTTGCACAACACACCAAGCCACTGGGGGTGGCAAACTGCGCTGAGTTGTCATGTCTCACAAACTTGAACAATTCCCCATTGGGTCGCTTGAAAACTCTTGGCTTGTTCTGGAGATTGTTTCACCCACCGTGGGTTGGTATGTCATCCGAATGCAGTTAAATGCCCCAACTTGACTGCAGGGAAGTGGTGCATGAGCCTCTGGGTGAGAGGGGCTGCTCCCCTTGCCTCTCGTGCCCAGCATTTTGGCTACCACTGATATCCAAGCAGTGCTAAGCGACACTTTGGGGCAGCAGGCGCTTTGGAGTAACTGTTACTTCGGAGCAACTTTTGTTTGCCACAGCTCCCCCCCCCCCCCCCCCACCTCCTTTAGCATTTTCCCTTAGAGGTCTGACTACAAATTCTGGTCCATTTGCATTGGCTGCCTGTATGCCCTGAAGCACAATTCAAGGCGCTGGTTTTAACCTACGAAACCCTACAAGATGGAACGTCTCTCCCCGAGATGGAACAACGCCTGGACCCTACAATCTGCATCGGAGGCCTTTCTCCTGCTGGCAACTCCAAGGGAGACAGACAAGAGGCAATAATAAGAAGGGCCTTCTCAGTGGTGGGTCCCCAATTGTAGAACAAGCTCTTCTAGTGGCCTGCCTGGCACAGACATTGTCCTCTTTTTGGATTAGGTTAAAACTGCCCTCTTTTCCCAGACCCTTCATGGTGTTGGAGGGCATATGTCAGGGCATGCTGGCTGTGATTAAGTCTAGCTTTATTGTGATTGTCTTAAATGTTTAAACTGGTTTTATAAAATAACACACACACACGCGTGCGCGCACACGCACACACACACACACACACAATTCTGTTTTAAATGTTTGCTGAAATTTTCTATTGTGCATTCTATTGTAACCGTGTCAGTATTTTACTGTATTTCTTTTTGTAGTTTTGAGAAATAGTTGTGAACTGACAAGAGAACTTTGGCTGTTGGGCAATAGAGAAACAAAATAAAAATAAATAATCAATAAATTCTTTTTTGCCCAGATTGTCCTCAGGGTCCTGTAAATTTTGCACTTTTCCTCTAAGCCCAGAAAATTGTAAAAGTGCCTCACACTGCATTTTGCAGGGAAAGAAGTCTCGACAGCTGGCCGTACAGTCCTGTTCTATTGCCTCATCAAAACCTTATTTACAAGGAGTCTGAGTTTTGATAGCTAGCTCTGGAAACGCCTTTGGCCTGAAAATAGGGTGGCATGCCCTTTTGCTCCTTCCCAAGCAAAAAAGTTGTGCCCTGTGAGAAAGGGCTCACAGTCTCCGTAGGTGTGGGGGAAGTGGATAAGTTGGTCCTTCCATGGGAACCCCTGGGTTACCTGCAGGAGGACCAAGGGGGTAGGAGGAAAGGCAGGGGCTGACAATCTACTGCAAGGCCAATCATATGTTGGACAAACCTGGGTTATTTGGGCAGCAGCCAGCTCACCACGGCTCACCACCAGGATGGGTTACCATGACATGCAAACTTGTCCTCTGAGATTAATACTGCATTTGGCCTGTCTTTTGATTTGAACCGTACCCTACAATTTCACTTGTTTAAAGCTTCATTGTTTCAGAGGTATAATCCCTTTCTTCATTTTCTATCATTCATTTTTAACACATTTTCCTGTAAGATTTTAGACAAAAACAAAACACAACTAAGACACCTGTTTAAGGAAGGGAGTATCTTAAATTATTTTTTTTAAAAAGAAGTGTAAATCTTACTTACCCTTATTTTTTCTGGGCAGTTCAAAACAATTCTCTATACCTTTAAGCAGTTCTTCCCTTTAAAACTGAGTGGATTTCCTTGCTCCAGTGAAGGATTTTATACCTGTATATATATGCACTCAGCTTAGCTCAAGTGCTTCCTGCTTCACAAAGTGAGTCACACAAGGACAACGTGAAATAGGATGTGAAAATATGTGACAGTTCTTCCCAAATATGTGTTTTTTTAATCAGATTTTATTTCCTCTCTATTACTGGCCTACATGCCTTCCAGAACCAACTTGTTCTGCTTTTGTAGAGAGGTAATTTGGAAAAAAATATGAGTAAGGTAGAATTTCACAAAAGTGGTCCAGAGGGTTATTTCTCTTTCACCCCCTGCCTCATCTCGATCTGCCCTCATACATGTTGGTTTATTAGCAATGTACACACAGTGGCTGAGTTCACTGGTTCGCCCGGGTCCTAAGGAAGATCCGATGCCACCCTCAAAGGCCTGCTGTGACGACTTTGCCAGGCATTTCAGGGAGAAAATCGCTCAGATTCGTCACGAGCTGGACACCACTATTGATTCAGAGGTCTCTGGGGCGACGCCAATGCTACCGTCTGGTCCAAAATTATTGGAGGAATTTCAATTATTGTGGCCCAATGATGTGGACAAGGTGCTTGGACGAGTACGTCCCACCACTTGCCTATTGGATCCTTGCCCGTCTTGGTTAATAAATAACTCCAAGCACGGGATTGGGACCTGGATCTTGGAAGTGGTTAACGCTTCTCTGAGGGAGGGTCGAGTGCCTGCCCCTTTAAAGGAGGCAGTAATACGACCGGTCCTGAAGAAAGCGTCACTGGATCCAGAGATGGCCACTAACTATAGACCTGTGGCCAACATCCTGTTTCTGGGCAAGGTGTTGGAGCGGGTGGTGGCAGGACGACTCCAAGCTCTCTTGGATGAAACTGATTATCTGGATCCTTTTCAGTCCGGCTTCAGACCCGGGTACGGTACTGAATCTGCCTTGGTCACCCTGTACGATGACCTGTGCAGGGAGAAGGACAGGGGGAGTGCATCCCTGTTGGTTCTTCTGGACCTCTTGGTGGCTTTCAATACCATCGACCATGGTATCCTTCTGGATAGGTGAGCGGGATTGGGGGTTGGAGGCACTGCTTTGCAGTGGTTCCGCTCCTATCTCAACGGTTGATTCCAGAAGGTGGTGCTGGGGGACTATGTCTCTGCACCATGGCAGCTATGCCATGGAGTACCACAGGGCTCCATTCTATCCCCTTTGCTATTTAACGTCTACATGAAACCGCTGGGAGAGGTTATCAGGAGGTGTGGGCTGCGGAATCATCAATACGCTGATGATACCCAGCTCTACCTCTCATTTTCCACTAATCCAGGTGAGGCAGTGGCTGTGCTGAACCGGTGCTTGGCCGAGGTAAGGGAATGGATGAGGGCCAATAAACTGAAGCTCAATCCAGACAAGATGGAGGTCCTGTTGGTTGGCGGATCGGGTTTCGGAGAGGGTGGATTTGACCTGGTCCTGAATGGTGCAACACTCCCTCTTAGGGACAAGGTCTGCAGCTTAGGAGTACTCCTCGACCCGGAGCTTTCTTTGGAAGCTCAGGTGACAGTGGTGGCGAGGAGCGCCTTCCTTCAGCTTCGGCTGATTAATCAGCTGCGCCCC